CTCTCTCTCTCTCTCTCTCTCTCTCTCTCTCTCTCTCTTTCTCTCTCTCTCTCTCTTTCTCTCCCTCTCTCTCGCTCTCTCTCTGTCTTACACAAACGCAAGCAGGAAGGCCTCTTTTACATTATCACCTTCATTACGGCACACAGTTAATCTGTCCCTCGGTCTAGTTACACAATGCCGTTCATAATGTGCCTAATTTTCTTCAGGATACCAAACCACTATGTCTTTTTTTTCTCTCGAACACACAGACCACTCCTAGACTTGCACGACTTCAAGTTATTAATATCATGGGTTTTTTTACGTCTATTTTTACTCACTCTTAAAGACAGCTTTCCTCTCTGAAGGGGAAGAGAGAGAGAGACTGAAAGAGGAGAGAAAAAAGTGAGTTGGGAAGAGAGCGAGAGAGAGAAAGAGCGAGAGAGAGAGAAAGAGCGGGAGAAACAGAGAAAGGGAGAGGGGGGAGGGAGAGGGGGAGAGGGAGAGGGGAGAGGGAGAGGGGGGATGGAGAGGGAGAGAGAGATAACACGAGTACACGTACTTGGTGGGTGCTTGAGTGCTTGCATGTCAGTACGTGTATGCAAGTGTCTTGATTGTTTATGCATCTTGTAAGTCTGCAGGCCAAAGTCAGTGCCAGCACATTTGATCCAGTCTATACGCTCGTGAAAATAGTAACTTTCTCGCCCACCGTCAGCTTGTACTTTCAGTTATACAAACCTTTTTTTTTTATCGTTATAGAAAAGAGGCAACAACAACAGCAACACAACACAAACAATGAGGTCAGACTCACCTGTTGTGCTCCAGAAGTTCTGTATGGCCTTGACCCCCTCGTGTGTCCTTGACTTGCTCGGAGCAAAGGCCGTCACGCTCCCAACCCAGAAGCCATACTCGGGGAGGTGAAGGTCGATTTTGAGGTCACCCAGCTGGTACGTCTTCAAGGTCGTCTTGTAGCGGACAAACTCTACCAGGCCCGCGCTCTGTAGGAACGACACGATGGACCGGTTCTTGGTGGACTTTTTGAAACCCGTTATTTGGCTGACGGAATCGACGATAGACTGAACGTTCTCAACTTCTGTGTACTCGTGGTCGGTGTGACCGTTGAGCAGTTTGGTGAAGTTGGCGTGCAGCTGCCACAGACCGTTGCGGCTCCGGAGCCAGCAGTCTGACAGAGTGAGATCGAAGCTGCGGGTGTCGTAATATGTGTCCAGTAACAGCGATTCGGACAGTAGTGTCGCGCCTTTGGATTTCAGAGCCGACTCAAACTTCTTCCCAACATTGAACCTTCTGGTAACCGGGACTGGTGGACCGTGGACGATCGTGGCTTTCGAGACCATGTCAACGACAGATTGCTGACTCTTGGACTCGACACTAACCTCATTTCTTTGCTGTGAAAGAGAAACATTCTCCGAACTGGACAAGCGCTGAACCGACGAGTTTGATGTGAGCGTCGTCGATGAGAAAGCTGACACCTGTACGTTGGCTTCGGATTGCGGACCTAAAGTGGTCGATCTCGAGTCAGAAGTAGATGATGTACCCTCTGGCATGACCTTTGACTCATCCTGCTTACTGGCTAGTGAGACATTTTCCACGGCAGACGATGATGTAAGGAGACTAGAAGTCTGGAACGCAACGCCAGCTTGTACTGTGGACTGCTCCTGTCCGCTCACAGTAGCAGACCGGCTGTCTAAACTGACGTGTTGACGGTCAGTAGAACTTGACATGAGATCTTGAGACTTATCAACAACCACGGTTTGTTGCATAGTAGAGCCAGATAGCAGAGTGGAAGAGGGCGTCTCGCTGAGCGCTCTCGTCTGTACTGAAACAGCAGCCTGGCCGGCGAGAGTGGAAGACCTGTTGTCCAAACTGTGCGCCTGTGTCTCTGTCGCGCTCGGAACCTCTTGCACTTGGTTTTCTGAAGAAATCGACTGTACCCCTGCTGCAGAAGTGAGGGTAGCAGACGTCTCCCGTGAGGAGGTAACTTGAGCAGTGACAGCATCCTGGCCGCTCAGCGTTGACGACTTACTGTCAGAGCTGATGGCTTGCGTCTGAGCCGAAGCTTGACCTACTTGGTAAGAGACTTGTTGGTCCACCGCTCCTCCCTGAGGCGGAGCTTCATCGTACTCGTCGTCAAAAGCAGGGTTGCAGATCCCTCCGCCACTGTAGCTCTGCATGATGCCCACGTCGTGGAAACGGTATCCCGCCTGTAGGGACTGCAGGTCCACCAGGCTCTCCAGCCGGTCCTCCGCCTCCCGCTGCTCCTCTAACGTTACAGCGTCGTCCTGGGAAGTCTGAGAGTCCGTGTAGGACAAGTCATCAGACAACGACACCTTGTGGACTTTGGTCAGCTTGAACATCTGGATGTCTTGGGTGCTACTCGTTCTCTCACTCTGATCATCTCTGGGCGACTTTTTCGTTCGTGAGAAATCTACAGCGGACAATCGAGGGATGGAATCTAGCTGGTCTACCGAGCTGCCTTTGCTGAGATCCACCTCGGAAGAATCGAAGTCGAACCTCAGGGATTTCGCAGCGGCCTCCATGCGCTCTGGTGTCGTCCGTGACTTTTTCTCTGCCAACTCTTCCATAGCATAGCTCCTGATGGCGAGGCCAGGCGAATAGGCCAGTCGGGGCGGGGAATCGTCATCGGGTGAGAGCTGATTCGTGTTTGACTCGGACGAACTTCCCACAGTTTTTCGTTTTGGGCTGGGTGGTATATTTATAGCCGCACTTTCAACTCGTGTTGAGGAACTTCCATCTTTTGAGGATACTCTCATGCTGGCTTCAGCATTTGACAACGTTTTCTTGGATGTTTCGGCCGATCGAAACTGTTTTCTCGCCTCTGGGTTCATGTCATTGTCGATGATATCGGAGATGTCGCTGACACGGTAGCTGGTCTCTATCATCTGTTGCACGTCCTCGCGAACTGACTGCATGATCTGAAGCACCTCACGATCCTCTTCTTGGCTCATGTCGGACAAGGAATTACGGTCAGAGCTTTGCTGGTCACCACTTTCTAAGATGCTGGGGTCATCGCCCGGTATGACCACTTCGCACCTGTCAATGTACTTTAAATCTTCCTCCTGGTCACCCGCCTGATCTTGATCCTTGGACTCGCCGTCCCCTTTCCCGCCAAGATTAATCTTTCTCGAGCATTTGAACTTGACGTCCTTCACCGCGGACACCGAGCGCGAGGCCTTGTCGCTGGAGTTGATCAAATAAGTCTGTGAGATGTAGTGCGACTCTGACGACAACTGGCGTTCCCTCCCAGCCCCGCCTACACCCAATCCTAGACTCACGTGATCTGTGAACACGGAATCTCTGCAGGCATCGACACTGGAGCCACATTCAGAGTCCACGTCATTTCCCGAACTGCCACCGCTGGCCGAGCGCTCGTAAACTGTGCGCACCGTGGACGAGACAACCTTCTCGGAAGAGCTCAGAACGGTCTCGCGGAAACCCCCGATCTCTACGTTCACCTCCGACCTCTCGAGATTGTGCAAGTCATTTTCCTGGTTTGACGACTTCCGAATGAGCACTTTCTTGGCGCTGATCTGGCTAGGGGTCGGGGTTCCGATAGTGGATTCCGTTCGCTCCACAAACCGCGTCGTCTCGTCGCTCTCAGACGCCATTTTGTGTATCAGGTGTCAGCAGTATTGCGGAAAATATCTGTCAGAGAACCTTGTCTTTCAACAAATGATATCTGAGGAGCAGACAAGAAAAAAACCCAGATTTAATGATAAGTAAAAAGTAAGTGTATGGGTTTAGTACTATGAACAGGTGGAACCTCCGAATTTAACATTTGCGTACTATAGGGCCGTGCCAAATGAGTTGAGAGCCGTGAAAACTCCACTAAACGACACAACCCGAGTTCAAGAACACCAGGCCAGGAATTCGAACCAGGGCCATCCGCTCGGTGGAGTGCTCAAAGAGATGTACGCTAAGTCTGAGTGGTTCGTCACGTAACGACAGAAACGTTCCGCAAGGGAGTCAAATACAGTCGTCCGTCATTTCGGATACAGGGCTTCGGTTTGAGTCAGAGAGAAATACACCTACACAATGACGGCTATTTGGTGTAAGTCTTTTTAAATATTATTATACTTATTATAGTAGAGGGTTTTACGGCGCTCGCAACTGCATAAGGTCATATGAGCGCCAAGGGGTGGGTGTCAACAAAGAAGTCTTTACAGACTTACGCTGCTCACCTCTCTAGCTTCAACAGCACAAGGTCTGCTTCAACTATCAAGGCACCCCGGAAATAGCAGGTCACAAGAGAGTGACAAACATACAAAAGAAGTAAAGGAAAATGACAATAGTAAGGATTAGGAAAGAAAAAGCAGCAGTTCCCTGTTGTAAATCAGGCACAGTTATAAGAGCGTGACATGAATCAGCCCATTTACAATTCTACTGTGTTTGAACGAGAAATGTCCCCCC